AGCCAAGGATAATATATTCACTTTTGTAGTTTAAATAGGTAAGTAGATTTGTTGGAAATAACCAATAATAAGAATCCTCTAATAAGGTGTAGAGAATTGACAATGAAAAGAAATCGCAGAGTAACTGGAATTGAAAATTTCTCTAGAATATTCACAATGGCATTTGCTCTTTGTCAAATTTTACTAGGCTGATATTCTGCCGGAAACACAAAGTAATGCTCAAGAATTTCTCGGGCGATTTCTGCTTTTTTACACTTCTTGGATTCTGTTTTCGAAGTTTTGTAAAATAATTTGTACTCACTTTCCTGTATAAAAATGCTCAATTTTCGCTGCTTATTTAGAAGTCTTTAGTCAGTGTTATATGTGACTCCGGGCAACTTTTTATTTAATGACGTTTTTAAACGAACACGAATTGGTGTTTGCTGCTATAATTATAACGAAGCCGTTGGTGTTTAGAACGTTATTCATTGCCTCCGCTTCATTATCGGCCTAGGTTTGGGTTCAGAATTGGTGTATTAATTTTTACTGTTATATGAAGTTGAATACCTTTGAAGCAGTGACCTAGCGTTGTGCTGGAACAAAATGCTCTTGCTAGGTCCAGTGCTAGTAGGTCGATTTTTGTGACGGAAGGTACGACCGCTTGTAGCCAATTGATGACTTATTATGTTCTTTAAAAAGAAACCGCATCTTAATATGAACGAACATTTACCCTAGTAGCATTTTGCTGGCGCGATGCGCTTCAGCAGTAGGCGTAAAAGGCGAACATGTTAGTGCTTCAGATGATTGGCTGATCGTTAATGCTTCTCTCTCAATGCGTACGCGTGTGACTGGTACGCGCGCACCATTTCGTGTCGCTGTCTGTCTTGCCGTTGACTGGAGTGCATCTAAGATGCATCTAACATGACATGTCATGTTTCCTAGGTTGCTGTCTGCCAAATAATATTTGTAATTTTCTTCAAATATGAAATATCACCACCACCGTTTGACAAACTCGTATTTACTCGGAAAGTGACGGACAGTTTATGAACACAAGTTTCTTACTCCTATCTAGGTGTGCAGCATGAACAGTCTTTCGTGATAATACACCTAGTATTGCGGACTTAATAGTTCAGCCTCTTCCTTGATTATATTCCTTTGGATATTTCTGCACGAGTCACAGGTTGTGGCTTGCATTCGCCTACGTTTATTCTTATTTTCCATGACTGTCTCGTAGCTGTGGGTACCTAACTCACTGTAACTCGAGGAGTCTAAATAATGAACACGAAAGGCTTTTTGCTTCCAAATTTAATCTTTCAGTAGTTCAGCCTCTATTTAGGCTCATAATGCGACTAATGGGTTTGCTTGGCAATCCAGTTTGATACGCAGTCGTTTTCGTTAGCTTAGTTTTCTACCTTCTGATTTTCAAGCGAAGCCTCTTTGGGATCAGTAATATAAAGAATTATCCTTACCAAGCGTAATTTCCAACATTCAGCTTTATCTTAACAAAATACATACCACCAGTTCAACTGGAGGAAACATTTTGCGTCACTTTAGCCAAATATTTATACCAATCGGCTTGCTTTTGGGATTGATGAACATCCCAATGCTAGTGTCGATAAGCCAATTTGTCATGTACATATCACACTATTAAATATTACGCGGGACAAAACTGCGGCAGTTGGCAACGAAACCATTATCATATCAAGTGCACCTAACGATACTGCAGTCAGAAGCCACAAATTATGGTAGGTCTATAGTCGTCTGGCTACATCTTATAAGTGCTGCATCCCCTGTGTTTCCGTTGGTCATTACGTGTGGGTGTCTCCGACAATATGTTCGAGTAACATCTGGGAGTTATTGTCTGATCTTAGTTTTGATTTGGAAGACGACTTCAGTGTCTCGTCACTTTGCCTTTGGTCGTCAACCAAAAAAAAGAAGATATATACGATTCTCTTTGTTCGTCAATGGATCTCGTCTGACGAATTGCGTATCACTGAAAACCTCGGTGTCCACTTTTCCGACGTGACCGGAGCTGTCATCCTGTCTCGTTGATTTGGTAATGGATTGTCTAAAAGTGGACGGACATTCCGGTTTGTTAGAATTCGCGCTGTTGCTTTAGGAGCCTGTTGACAAGCGCTGGAACGTAAAATTCACGACCTCATGTTTGCGTCCTATAGCTTACAAACAGCGACTGTTGACTGGGTGTATTAGTGGTGCGTAATGTGGATGGGAACCTGATTGGGACTGTCGGATGTGTAGATACGCCGCGGACTTTCGTCTGCCATAGGTCGTCGGTCAATAACGGTTAGTGGGGTGTGGCTGCCTTTCTGAACACAACTTCAGGGAGCCAGATGTGAGTGTTGATTGTCAGAGCATGGTGAGGAAAAAATTCTATCGATGTCTTTGCTGAGTGCCATAAGTGTATGTCATGCAATTACTTGCTATTGCTGTGTTTGTGTGTATTCTAACCACCCTAGCTAGTATCGCAGATGTTTCCCTTCCATGCGTGACAT